CCCAAGTGAGCACAACGGCCGATGCTATGCCGATCCGAAACCAGGAGGCAGGAACTTCTTCTGGGTCTCCCACACGGCTGCAGAGTCCCAAGGCTTTGGGCTGTCCTCGACTGCTTTCCCAGGCTACAAGCAGGAGGCTGGATGGGAAGTGGAGCTGCCGGGATCAGAACCGGCGCCCATATGGGATCCTGGCACTTTCAAGGCGAGGACTTTAACTGCTAGGCCACACCACCAGGCCCTATTTTCATTTTTAAAATTTATTTGAAATGTAGAGTTAGAGATAGCAAAGGGAGAGCTTCATCGTCCATCTTTCTCTGCTTTCCCAGAGACACTACGGACAGTGAGCTGGGTTTGAGGCAGAGCAGCCAGGATGCCAACCAGAGCCCAGAAGGGACATCAGCACTGAGAGTAGCGGCTTAACCAGCTGTCCCACAGCACAGAGATCCCACCCCCCATGCCCCCCCGCCCATACTTTCTTTTTTCTTAAAGAAAGCCATCTAAGAATCAACTGCTTTATTTCCCTGTACAGTTATCTTAGCAACAATACCTTTGTCAAAAAGCAGTGATGGCCTTGGTTCTAATAGAACTCTTAGCAAATGTTGCCTGCAAGCCTAAGGAGAGCCTAAGGTTGTAGCATAGGTTTTGCAGGGAGCTCAGCATTAAGTCAGCAACACCTTTGGGTAACATGCTGGTCTCCCTGCCTCCTCCAGTCACACCATGTTTTTTTTTTTTTCAACCAAATCCTTCTTCTGTAACTTTGACCAAACCCAGCTGCCTAAAGTTCATAAAAGCTCCACCAAACCTAACTGCCCCAACTTCATCTACATCTCAGCGGAAGCCCCTCTCCCCCCACCTGCCTCCAAAACCAAAGCAACCCCAAGAAGAGGCCGGGGCACTCCCCTGGCAGAGGAAATGCAGTGCTGGCTACATAGAGCCCAAGGTGCCCTGGGGGGGGGGGGCTCCTCAAGGTGAATGGGAGTCCCCCACGGCTGGCGAGGCGAGGCATGCCCTGCCTCCATGGTAGCAGCTGTTTCTACTGTGCTCATATTCCAGTAGACATGCAAGGCTCAGAGCCGGAGGGCACCCCCTTTGCCAGCTCCTGGAGGGGCTGGCTGTGCTGGTGGGCCCAGCAGTCTGAGATCCAGCCCCCGGGGAAGGGGAGAGAAGCTAAAGGGGCTAAAGACCTCGGCTGGCCTCTCTTCTCTCCCAGCAGTTCTCATGAGTTGCAGGTGACTCTGGAAGGCAGGAGGGGCAGGGATGGAGGGCTTTGTTCTTCTTCCCATAGCTGGACCAGGCTGTCCACAGAAGGCTCCGTGAAGCCCTCAGCTCAGCTCTCTGCCTCCCAGACAGGGCTGCCCTTCTGCCTCTCTGGAGCTAGCTCAGAGTTCTAGGAGAGATGAATTATCTTGGCAGCATGACTGTGTGCTGCCAAGTAGCACTCATTACATCAAAGTGGCAAAGCCACCAAGAGGAGGATCGAGGAATAGGTCATGAAGACAAATGCTAACCCTCTGGAACTGACTGCCAAGTTCATCTTCAGCACAAACATTTTTGGATCTGGGGGACACACTGCTTGCTGCTGCTCTAACCGTAACAGCCCGACCAACTAAACAGGGACCATAACTTGGTGTCTCTCTCTCTCTCACACTGGAAAAATTAATTTTTCCTTTGGCAGATGGTTGAGTCACAAAGACAGAAGGATTCATAAAATTCACATGAACACCCCGTAAACATTTTAAACACATAAAGATTAAACAAGGCAACCATGACCTTGATTAAACTATTTTTTTTTAATGTCAGTGACAGTAAACCATGTGATCTGGAAGCTCAACTCCACACCTCTCCCGACATGCTCAGCTCTCACTGGGCATGTCAACTGCATATGCAAGCAGATAGTATTTGATGAACTGGTTTTAAGACGGGACATAAAAGGCACCCGAAGAAAGCAACCATTTGGAACACCTAAACATTAAAAAAAAAAAAAAAAATCTTACCAGTTCTCTATTAAATCTGACTGACTCAGGGGAAGTTGAAATAAAATCAATGGGCAGAAGTGATACAAAACGTAGTGATTGCATCCACTCTGCCTCAACCCCTGCCCCTTTCCAATTAATTGGCTGATTCCCACTAGAGTTGTTGGCCCAGGACTAGAATGTGTGATGATTGAAAATTCTGACCTAAAGAGGCTAAATGACTTGTTCAAGCTCATGAGTGGGCTGATGGGACTGGAGCCACGGCCCCTGTGGCTTCAGCCTGCCCAGGGACCTCATCTCCACTGTGCACAACCCAGCATCAAAGCTGCCCCCCCGCCCCACACCTCCCTCCCACCCCCAAGCAGCTTGTGAGATTAGCACTGCCCTCCCACAGTGAAATTTTATGGACCAGATCTGCCCATCACCAGGCTCAGCAGCATAATCTTGCCAGCGGCTTAGAGCCACGCTCCTCCGTGGCCAGAGCGCTGCCAGACTCCTCAGGGGGAGAGGGGACGGGTCCCTGGGAGGATCTGGGGGTCAGCCCCCCTGCATCCTTGTTAGAATGTTCACTCCACTGAGGCTTTGAAGATTTTTCCCAGTCGTGTTTGTTACCTGCTGCAAATGCGGCCTTTTTTTACAATGCTTTCTATGGCTCATGGCTAAAGATACCAGACAAAGACAGACGATCTGACTTTCAGGCTTTGCAGGACTCGAACTGGATGCGCAAGGTGACGGACAGTTCTTTGCAGGCCTTGTCAACCACTCATCCAGGAAAAAAAAAAAATGCCACTATCCGGAGCAAAAACAAACCCCAAAACAGGAGCTCTGTCACCAGACCCTCTCTGCACCTGTCTCAAAGCAATTACTGACACTGTAGCTACACAATGAATCTCTTTCTCTTTCGAAGTTGTTTTCCTGATATTTAGCAGTTTGAATACTAATCCCCTTAACAAAACTGCCCTGATGCGTCGTCCCCTCCCTCCTAGCTCCTGCACCCTTAAATCTTTCTCTCCAGGGAAGGATGGGGATGCCGGCTAGCAGTCAGTCTCCTTTGGCAGTACCTGGATTTGCACTGATTCAGCCTCTTGTCATTCATGTTCCCAACAGGAATTAGCATAAGGCATTAAGGGGAGACTCCGGAGGAGAAAAGAAAGGCCATTTTGATGGAAATAAGGGGCAAAGGAATAATCTGCCATCAACTAAAATGCTTATTTGTGTATGGTTTCCCAAGCAAGGCTTAGAAAAAGCCTATGTTGATTTTAGTGTACACAAAGAAACCTTAATCCTCTCAAGGCAACTAAATCACCCCCTAGAAAAGCGGCTCAGAAGAAAGGCACCCTGTCAGGGGGATGACTATTCACAATCAAATAGATGCCACAGATCACACCCTGTAAGTAAACACAAGTAAGAATGTGGGAAACACTGCGCTGCAAACGGGAGACCCCAGGGGAGGGAGCCACTGGGAGCAGGGGAGCCACTTAACACAACCCCCTCACTCTCCAGGGTCCTTCAGGACAGCAGTGGCCTTGGCTACCCAAACCCCCAAGGCTGGAGCGACACCAGAAACAGGGCATCTGACAGGTTAGCGGAAGAAGGCTACAAGTCACCTGCAGGGGAGGTCCTGGGTGTGTATGTGTGTTTTGGCAGGGAGCGGGGGCTGGGGGAGGACTAGGTCATCACTGAAGCTCAGAGGCCCTGCTTCCGGTGACCTGTCCTTCCTCTGCGATGTTCTGTCGCACAGGGAGAGGCCACGACCAGTTCTCCTCCATCACCTAAACCAGCAGTTCCACAACCCTGCGTCTTCCACAGGCCCAAGTGCTACAGGCTAGGAGCCGCACGTATCTTTTATTGGGCTTTCAGCATTATGGATAACAAATTCACACAAACTTTCAGTCCATCAAAAGATATGATGCAATATAAAATCGGAATACTCCATTATGCAATAAACAGATAAAATTCAATATGACAATCATGGTACAGCAATCACACATACACATACCCCTCCAGAGGACGCTCAACATAACGAACTATGTAACACTGCAGTTGGTTCAAACTCCAAAATAATGGCGGTGGGCGGGGGGGGGGGGTCCACATAACTGCACTTGGCAGCTGTCCTCCAAACCAGCCAGCGAACACGCTGGCACACGCAGTCTCCAAGCTCCACTTCATGAAGGCCCAACTCGGATCTAGCACTACTAGATCAAACACCGGCAGCCAAACAGACCAAGAGCATTAGAGAGAGAGAGCACACACCTTCTTTATTAATAATCACCAAGCCAGCCCTTAACTCGGGTTCTGTGGTGAAAAAAAAAAAAAACACCCATAGTTTGCATAATTTAAACCTTTCAAATTATACAGCTTTCCGGGCCAGTGATTATTAGACTTGCCTAACTTTCATTATTTTCAACAACACTGCTTACAAATGAAAACTGCCTCGAAACCTATTGGTGATGATTTAAGGTAAGTTTCTCCTTAACGTGATGCTGTATCATTAGCCTTTCTTTCTCTAGATCGCCGTTTAGAAGAAATTAATGGGATAGGACATATTTAAATTCTGCCCTCTTGTCCGTGTATTCACTTTACAAAAAAGCCCCAAGCACAGGAAGGGTTGGTTTATGGCCACCACAGTGTGTGTACACTATACATCCCCCTGGTTATTACAGCCCGTAGTCCACATCACTCCTGGGAGTTGACAAGTGACAAGCTGGGGCATTTTGAGAACTCTTCTTCTGTACCATAGCCTCCCACGTTCCTTAACACTCACACACCTCGTACTGATTTCTTACCAAAGCAGTTCAAATAAGAATTCAACATGTTATTTGACAACGAACATTTAAAACACATCAGAAGAGCAAACAGATTCTGTCACACGCAAACACAGATGAGAAATAGCAGCTGGATGAGGAGGGAAGAAAAAGAGACCACATTGTGTGTGTGTGTGTGTGTGTGTGTGTTGAGCTCACTCTTCCTAGGCAATGAAAATGAAAGCAATATAAAAGCAGGCAAGCACACGGATGAAGGCCTTACCTTTGTTTACGAGAACGGTGTTGAAGAGTTTTTCAGAGCTGGCATCCGAAGCCTGGAAAACAAGAAGGGGAGAAGGCATGACTACCGTCGTCATTGCTATGCTTTTAAATCAATTCACTACATTTTGGGAAAACCTAACAGGGTGAGAAGCAGCTTCCCTAAATCATCCATAAGGTGGTGCTAGCCGACTGTCTGAGGCAGCCCTGCAGTGCAGTTCCTGCTGGGGGGAAGGGGGAAAGAAATCTTGATTTCTTAAAAAAAAAAAAAAGTGTCCTTATTAGACATATTATCTGTGCAAAACATATTTCTAGGAGATGATACACAAGGCAATTCAGTTCATTCACATAATCATCTTGCAATTTCGTTGACAGATCATTATTTTGGAAATGGTATTTTTCCAGGGTTATTTGCAGACATGCCTATTTTTCAATTTTCTTTCGCAAATCTGAAACGCCTATTCTTTCCTGCAAAGCTCTTCCTCACTGAGTGTCACTCACTGTGCCCGGAATGAAGTCTTTCCGAGACTCATTTGATGACCCTAAGGTGCTTGCTCCTTACAGAAATCGGGACGACCTTGACGTTCACCCAGCCGCCAGCCAACCTGCCTGCCCCGCACACTGACCACCAACCAGGCCTGCCACCGGCGTTCCTCCATTTCCATTTCCTAGAGATCCTGTCTGCTAATTACGCCATTGCCTTCAGGAGGGTGAAACAGAGCCTGTTTAAATAGCAAGACCAAAGCCAATTTAAATTACACACGCAGGTTCTGGAGGATAAACATGAAGTCAGTGTGGAGGAAATTGCAATGATGTTTCTGAAGCGCTGGATGTTTCTAGAACTTAGGAAAAGAACAAATTAAAAATTCCCAGCCATGTCATTTGCAGGTCCTTCTGCATGTCAGGTTACAACGTCTTGCCTGCATGGCTGCTGCCCCTGCCATGCAACCCTTGTGAGAAATGATTTCTCCTTGTCACACTTTACACATGGACATGTGCATTCTGACAAAACAAAGCTCAGAATGTTGAATAAATATGGGGGAAAGAGATGCAGGCGTGGTGGCGGGCGGTGGGGTGAAGGATAGTATATTCTGACTGTGGGTCTGGCTAAGGGGACAAAGAAGAATTCCATTTAGCCTTCCACATTATATTGATGATGGAACAGTCCTATGTATATCTGGGGAGTGAATTCTAGTCCTCGATGAAAATAATACACAAGCGTTCCAAAGATTCAATGATGGGTAAAAAAAAAATAACGATGCATGTGCCAGGAAAGAATTCAGCTATACACATTTATACACAACGTTTCAAAATATACCTTTCGCTTTTCATCCTATTTTGCAAGAATTTAAAACACACACACACACACACACACACATTGTGAAGGCCTTCCTGATACCTTGAGCAAAATTGGATAAAAAATATATATTCTGTGAGCTTTCCCTGACAAACAAACTGTGCAGGAAGGGTTGCACGGGGAGGGACAAATATGTTCTGTATCAAACGGATCAAGAATGCAGAGTTAAAAAAGCAAAAAAGGCAACCAATGGCGCTGCCCTATCAAAACACAAACCGTGATTTCTAGGAAACAGAGTTTTTCAGCTACAAACTTCTAGATAGGAGCATGCCACTGCTCTCCAGGGAACACTGTCCCCAGAAATCTATACTCCTAGCACAACAGGTGCATCCAGGGTTTAAACATTAAAGTCCAGCTGGAATTTGTTAAAGCCAAAAAAAAAAAAAAAAGTGTGTGTGTGAGAAATCCTGTTACAAATGCAAACCAGCTCTTGTATTTGGAATTACCTATTAAAATAGGTCTGACTGGCACAAAGAAATTCATGTCCATGTCGGCCCACTCAATGCACAATGCCAAGGGGCGCACGGAAACGAAGAGGGCTCGTGGCGGGCAAGTTTGTTGAGCGTGAACAGCAGCGAGGCTGTAGGCGCAGACAGGCCTCCTCGGCCCTTCTCGGGACTGCCACCTTCGTCGGTTCCATTGGAGCCTCGCAGCAAGGGACTGTCAGAGAGATCCTGACGACCTAACCAAACCCTCTGCTGCCTCTGCCGCTGCCGGGGGTTCTCCCGATGCCCAACAGCAAGTGATGAAGGAAGCAGGTTGTAGAAAAGCTTAGTTGGAAGCTCTGCATTCTAATCAGAAATGCTTTCCCGGCCCTTCGCTTCCCAGATCCAAGTCACCCGGCTGCTGGGCAGGACGCCTTGTGCAAGTAGGGCGAAGGGCGGCTCCAAAGTGGCCTCCGTGGAAAGCCAGCCTCGACAGGGTGTTGGCCAAGTGGTCCTGGCCACACTGCATAGCAGGCTGGGGTTCGCCCTCCTCCAGTGCAAGTGGCAGCGCCTTAGCAGATAAAGTCTCAAGCGGTAACCGCACGGAGAGCCTGATTTGTTTCTTCCTCCTTGAACGTCCCTCCTAGCTACATTTTGCAAACATGTGTGTCAGTTACCTGGCTACCTTGGGTCTTAATCTTGGGGATGTTGCCATTTTCGTTGCCTTTTTAAGTCTGCGTTTTACTATCACCTACATTATTTTTCTGGCTATTCCCCTTCGCCTCCCGCCCTCCCCCCCCCCCGCCTCTCTTTTTAATCAGGAAAGACTAGGTCAGCCAGAGTGAGGGGCTCTGGCTCGTCCGATGTAGAACGCGGGGCGCCTGTGCCCGCCTCGCACTTTACGCTGTCTCTCGCCATTTCGTTCCCTGCCCCCTAGCTCGGCACTGGAGCGTTAAGGGCACGAAGCGACCGAATCTACACGGAAAAACCAGGTTTCTCCTTTGGCTTTTCCTTCTAATAATAATGATGGTAATATTAATACGTTAAACAACAGCAAACGCCACCGCAAGCCGTAGTTGGCGTTTGCAGAAAAGTTAAGTCCTGCCGAGAGGAGGAGGGAAGGCGTGGAGCCAGGCCCGCGAAGGGAACCCTGACTTCGAGACAGATCCCGCTTGGGGCCACCTCCAGTCCCCTCGGGCGCAGACCCCCTGGGCCGCCTTCTCCAACCCCACAGCTGCCCGAGGGACTTTCAAACAAGAAAAGAGAAACCTTCTGGAAACTTCAGTGAGAGTTCTTTATCCAGCGTTCGATCCCGAGCCCAAGATCTCCTGTCGTTCCTCTCGGCCCCGAGTGTCGGCTGGGATCCCTGACCCGGATGCGGGAGGGGGGAAGCGCGCCCCGATCCCCGACACCAGCCGCATGGACACAGGGCCTCGGCTCGGCCCGGTCCCGGGTCCGGCGGAGGGCCCCCCCACCTCCCTGCGCTCGCCCGCTCTGGCCCCTGGGCCCTCCCGGCACACAAGTGCCGCTCTGGTCCCCGCTCTCGGGTCGAATCGGGCCGGCTGAGCTTGGGGGGTGGAGGGGAGTACAAAGACGGTGACCGGGTTACCGAAGGGAGCTGGGGAAGCAGGGGGAGGGGGACCGAAGGAGCCTCGGGAGCGACAGACGCGAGGAGCCCGCCCCTGCCACCCCTGCCCGCCGGCCTGGCCACCGCAACAAAAGACCCCCGACCCAGCCATCTCGCTTCCAATCCGGGGCTGCGAGTGAGCCGCGCCCCCCCCCCGGGGGGGGGGCTGCATTACCTGGTTGCAAAGGGTTAAGCGGTCCTGTCAGCCCCAAGTTCATGGTTTGGGTCCTTGGCAGGGCTCCCGATGATGGGTGATCGTCAGAAACCAGGAGGTTAAAAAAGAAAAGCCACCAGAACCCACGGCGAGAAAACGCCCAACTCCAACCCGGCACTGTCTGCAGGAGTCTTCTCTGCTCCTTCCTCTCCAAAGTCTGGAGGCGGATGCACGCGAACCAAATCCGAATCGGAGTCGCAGCAGCCTTCCGGCGGCCAGGAGCCAGCGCCGCCGCGCGCCGCGCGCACACATCCAAGCGCGGCCGAGTCCAGGCAGGCGGCAGGAGGGCGCCCGGCCCGCGCTCGCTCGCAGCCTCCCGGTCGCTCCTGCAGCGCGCGGGGCCGGGCGGCGCGGCGGGGGCTCGCCAGGCGCTTCCCGGGCCGGCGGGCGGGCGAGACGGAGAGGTGCGGCCCGAGCCGCCGCCGCGGCGTGCGGAGCTAGGAGCGAGGCGGCGGCGGCAGCGGCGGCGGCGACAGGACAAAGGAGACCATGTGCGGAGGGAGGGAGGAGGGAGGAGGAGGAGGAGGAGGAGGAGGAGGAGGGCGCGCGGCGGCGAAGGCGGCTGCTCCCCGGCGGCCGCCTCGGGCTCCCCGACAGCCGGTCCCGCCTCTCCAGCAGCGCCGTGGGCAGACGGATCCCTGGCCCACCGCCGTCGCAGAGGCGCTGGATGGAGACGGCTCCGGGAGTCTTTATATTTTGGGCCGATCTCACCGGCGCGCGGAGCGGGAGGCGCTGCAGCGGCCGGGGCGCCGGGTGGGCAGCACGGGGGGCCGCCGGCACCTTCTGGTCAGAGCTCGCGGGCAGGTGGGCGAGCGCTCCGGTTTGGATCAGCTCCGGCCCCTCGCTCCCGCTGGCGGGTGCCTGCCTCTCCCGCCGCTTCCCAGCTCAAGTGAACTCCATCGGCTGCTGCAGCCGGCGCCGCGGGCTCCCTTGGCTAGACGGTATGGCCGGAGGGGGCGGCGGCGGCGGTTGCGCGCGGGCCACCCCCTCGCCTTGGCTCCGGACTTGGCTCCCCGACTGCGCCGAGCGCGCCTCTTGCAGACGCTCGCAGCCCTCGGAGCGGGACTTGCTCGGCGCGCAGAGCCCCAGCCGCCGCCGCCGGTGCCACCGCCCCTCCTCCGTCCCGCCCCGCGCGCCCCGCCCCTCGCCGCCCCTCCTCTCGGCCCCGGCGCCCGGTCGGCCCCGCGGGGGCGCAGTCCCCAGGAGCGACATCCACAGCTGTTGCTCCCCTCGCAGCTCTAGGCCCTACTGCCCCGAGGCTGGCGTCCCCGCGGGCGGGCGGGCGGGCAGCCTCGGGGCGCGACGACAACTGCAGAGCTCTCGCGCCTTTCCCGCAGCTGCCGCTTCCAAGATTGCGCCTTGGCAGGGAAAAGGCCACTAAACCCGCAGCCCTGGGGGTGAAATGCGACTGGGCTGGTAGTACTGCAAAGAGT